ACAGAGGAAACTAGATGAGGGATAGTATGTGAGAACTCTCTGTACTTTCTGTTCAATTTTTATGTAAACCTAAAATGGCTTGAAAAAGAAAGTATATTATAATAATAATTGTTTAAATGTGAGGGCATAAATTAAAACTTGATAGAAAGGTTAAAAAATATATTTGTTTTGAGACAGAGTCTTATTTTATCGACCTTGGTGGAGTGCCATGGCATCATAGCTCAAAGCAACCTGAAACTCTGGGGTTCAAACAATCCTATTGCCTCAGCCTCCCCCGTAGCTGGGACTACAGGCACCTGCCACAATGCCTGGCTATTTTTAGAGACGGAGTCCCATTCTTGCTCACACTGGTCTCAAACTCCTGAGCTTAAGCAATCCACCCACCTCAGCTTCCCAGAGTGCTGGGATTACAGGCATTAACCACCATGCCCAGACTGAGAAGATATATTTGAAGAAATATTTAATATAATAGAAAGTAGAACCAAAAAAAATGAAAAATGGAAAGAAAAGAGAAGAAAATTAGAGAACCAGCTGAGAAGTTCCAATATCCATATTCATTCAACAAATAGTTCTCAAGCCATACACTGTTCTGGGCACTCAATAATATGAGTTCCAAGGAGACCAGAGGACATTGCCAATGATATGATTCAAGAAAACTTCTCTGACCTGAGAATAGACCACACAATAGATGGAAATAGATCATCATTTTTAAAAGATCCCATGAACTTCTAGAAAGAAAAAACAGGTCACTACAAAGGTTCTAGAATCAGCAGGGTTTCAGCCTTCTAGACAATAACCATAGCATGAAAAGAAAATGAGAAGTTCTTTCAGATTTTGAATGATAATCATTACCAACCTATAGAAGTCTATACTGAATCAGTCACGTGTGAGGGTGAAAAAAAGGATATTCTCATACACTGAGGATCTCAAAAAATAACTCCATGCTAGATTTCTGCAAAAGCTAGTAAGTATGTGCTTTGACAAATTGAAGGAATAAAGCAAAGAAGAGGACAAAGGACCCAGTAAACAGGGTATCCACACTACAAAGTAAGTCCTAAGATCTCCATTTGTCAGATAATAGATAAGCTTGGGACTCAGAGAGCTGAATGAATTAATTAACATGCCCAAAATCCCACAGCAATTTGGGGGCAGAACAACCCAGAACTGAGGCCCCCTAACATTCTCCCTCTGCTCCCCGCCAGGTTCTCACAAGACACTTATCAAGTGCTTATGACACACTAGGTAGCAGGCCACATGCCCCTGACGCACACAGCAGGTACTCAATGCATGCTTCTCAAAAGAGGAACTCTGTACATGGACCCATCCTACAGATGAAGGAACTAGGGCTCAACAGACCAGCAAGAGACAGAGATGAAATCCACAGCCAAATCCTTGGACCATGATGTGCCTGCTGGTGCCAGGACCAGCCAAAGGCAATCAGCACTAGTGCATCTGAGGACTGACGGTGTGTACAATTCTATTCTAAGGGCTTTCTATGAATGAACTAGATAGAGTGCCCGAAGGACCCCAGGAATCGCAAGTATCATAGTCATGGGGCCATCAGCAAAGCTGGCGGCCACAGGAAGCAGTCCCTGCGTTCCCAGGCAACAAAGCAATAAATAGGAACTGAGGCCACAGCTGGTTACACTGGAGCTGAACATGAGGTCCAGGATCAGAAACAAGAGGATTTACCCCCGGCGTCTCTCCAGGACGCCTGTGTGGGCAGGCAGTGGATTCCAGTTCTTGGTTCCAGCCATAAGCCTAGTCAGCCCTCCATAGCAGCAGCTCAATCCACCCCCACTCGTTATACAAAGAAGCCACTGTCCAATTCTGGGCCCTTCATGGTGCTTTTTCTCATCCCACCGCTCCTTCTGCCCTGAATCCCAGGATTCCAGGGCAGGAAGAAATCAGCAAGGACGAATGTGATCAGATTTATTGATGCAAGTGCAGGACACATTAGGAGAACCTGGGCAGGGTGCTGAAAAGTTTTCTGAACCCAGGTCTAAAGTCAGTACCCCTACCACTCCAGCAAGACACAGCAGCCCTGTCTCTGGAGCCCCTGTCTCTCCCTAGCTGTGTGTTCTCAGGAAAATGACCTCACCTCTCTGAGCCCTTGTGCATTTCACCACCTGTAAAGTGGAATTCATAAGCCTCCCTTCTTTACAGGACCATGAGAGGATTAGACAAGGTCTAGTACTTAAGGAGGTCTATATAAGCTGCATTAGTTAGCTACTGCTGGGTAATGAATTACCCCCAAAATTACCAACAGGAAACAACAAATATTTATCATCTCATGTTTTTTATGAGTCAGAACTCTGGAAATGGGTAGATGCAGTGGCTCTCATTTGTAATCCTGCTACTCTATGAGGCTGACATGGTAAAATTGCTTGAAGCCAGGAGTTTGGGACCAGCCTAATCAAGATCAAGACCCTGTTTCTACCAAAAATAGAAAAATTAGCTAGGCATGGTGGCAGGCATCCATAAGTCCCAGCTACTTGGGAGGTTGAGGCAGGAGGATTGCTCAAACCCAGAAGTTTTAGGTTGCTGTGAGCTAGGCTGACACCATGACACTGTTAGCCTGGCCAACAAAGCAAGACTCTATCTCTTAAAAGAAAAAAATCTGGGAGTGGCTTAGCTGATAGGTTCTGCCTCATTAAGGCTGCAGGTGAGGTATTGGCAGGGGCTTTGGTTATCCACGGTTTCTCTGGGGAGAATCCACTTCCAAGGTCATTTATGTGGGCCTTTCCACAAGGCTGTCTCACAACAGGGGGCAAGTGATCCAAGAAACAATGCCCAAGACAGAAGCCACAGCCTTTCTTCTTATCTAATAATCTCAGAAGTGACATCCCATCACTTCTATTATGAAGTGAGTCACCAGGTCCAGCCCACACTCAAAGGGAACGTATCATATGAAGGCATGAGGCAGCTATCCCCGGGTCACCTTTGAGGCTGCCTCCCACAGACAAGTATGTCAAGCAATGTCAGAGACTTAGAGTAGACCCAGATTCTGCCCCATCCCTGGGGGAGAAAAAGCCAGGCATGGATACTCCTGGGGTCTAGGGGGACAAAGCTGTGGAGGAGGAATAGACAGAGCCTGGGTAAGACCAGAGAGGAAGGAAAGATCTTCCACTTGGCAAACATGCCCCTAGATCCTGCTGTGTGCCAATACTGAGTTGGAGGTAGGGCCACAGACCAATCTCTGTCTGTGCCCTCACAAGGCCCACAGTCTAGTAGGGGGGAAAGGAAGCCTAAGAATTAAAAAGTAAGAAAATAGACAGAATTACAAATGACAAATGAGGCTAGTAGTGATTAGCCAGGCTTTGGAGCTATACTGCCTCGCTTCTGATCCTGTCGCTGCCACTTGTATGACCTGGGACAAGTTACATGGCTATGTTGTGTCTCAGTTTGCTATGAGATCATGCCTATAAAATATACACCACAGCACCTGGCCTAGTGGGAACACTCAGTAAATGTTGATCATTCTGCCAGACAGCAACAGAAGGGAGGGTGTATAGAGATGCAGGGTCCATGTAAAAGGCCCTCTGAGGAGGTGACATTTAAGCCATGGCATGATTGAAAGGAACAGAGAAACAGCAATATAGGGCAGAGGAAACAGCAAGTGCAAAGATTCTGGGGCTGGAACAAAGTTAGGGGAGGTCCCAAAGGTCAGGGACCTTGTGGGCCATGCCCAGAAATGTGGCCTAGATTTTAAGGGCAACAAGGAGCCACAGGAGGGTGCAGAGCAGGAAAATTCACCAAAGGTTCTCCCTTGGCAAAAAGGGGCCTCGTATGCTCCAGGAAAAAGGGGTAACCTGACTGAGCCTAACACTGCAGCAAGTTGAGAAATATGGAGGTGGGGGACAGCAGATGAGCAGGACTAGCTGGAGACTGAGTCTTTCTCCAAAGGAAGACGGGCTGGCAGTGGAAGGTGTGTGAGCATAGGGCACATCAGAACAACCAAGGGGCAGGCAGTGGAGAAGGGGAAGGGGCCATGGCAAGGAAAATAAAGGTTTCAGAAAGTTCCAAACAATCAACTTGCAATGGGGCCCTTCCCAGCTTCACCATCTGTACTTCTCCATAAACCCCAGTTTCTTCATCCTTAAAATAGGTTCAGTCCCCCAACTCCCTGCAAGTACCTGTCTGTGAAGGTGCTAAGCCTGGACTGGCACACAGCAGGTGCTCACCTGTTTCCACATGGAGGCTGCTCCTAAGATTTTCTCCCATGGGAACCCCCAGCATCATCTATTTCACCCTAGAAGGATCCAAATGGCTCCTTCAAGCCAACCCCTCAGAGACACCCCAAAAAGCCTCCAAGGATTCCTCCATATGGTACCAGAATCTATTCCCCCAAAACACAGTCTCCAGACACCCTCAAACAAATTCTGGAATGTATAGCATTCTCCCTACAGACTCTGAACAGCCCCCAAATTCTCACACAGACCCCAAACTCTCAGAGTGCCTCAGCCACACAGAAACCCATAAACAGTCTTAAGGAGATACACACCCTTCAGAGATCTTAAAGTCCTTTACAGATGTCCCAAGCAGCTCTCTGGTCCCTCAGAGAAGGCCCTAAATAGACCCAAAGTATTTTGACACTCTCAGAGACCACTGGGTTGGCCCTGTGAGACCACCAGTAACCTACTGAAGAGCCCAGAGAAGTGTCCTGTAGTTACTATGGCCCCAGAAAGTCTCCCAAAACCCCATGGCTTCCCTGGACACCAGCTACTCAAAGACTCCCAAGTTGCCCCCAAGTCTCCTGAGATCTCTTAAACAGCCCCCTAAGCCCCAAGCACCTTGGAACCTACTCATCTTCCTGAGACTTAAGCTGCCTCTGCGTTCCTCTCAGAGCCCCTCCAACTCATCACCGCCCCCGCACGCCCTCAACAAAGCACCCATCCCAGATTCTCAGAGCCCTCCAAGCCCACGGGCCACCCCCCCATCCGCCTCAGGGGAGTGTAGTTACCCCACCCCGCCCCAGCCCCAGCCCAGGCAACACTCACAAGAGGTCCCGCCTCGCTGTCTTGCAGACGATGCGCAGAAAGCGCCAGCCGCCGCTGCCCACGTACACACAGAGCGCTGCGGCCGCGCTCCAGATCCACGGCAGCCCCAACAGCCATAGCAGCGCCAGCGAGGCCACAGAGGCCGCTCCCGCACCCGGAGCCCGCATCCTAGGAAGGTGGAAAGCGCTGAGGACGCTAGCCGCACGGGCTCGGCCCCTTGGTCCGGCCCGCACCGCCCCTATGAAGAGCTCCGCCCCCAGGAGGGGGGGAGGTGCCGGCTCCCTCCCCCTGGCGAGCACAAAGCCCTCTCTCCAAACATGACTCCGCCCCAGGCCTAGGATTAACCAAGCACTCAGGACAGGCTCCGCCCCCTTTTCGGCTTTACCACACGCCCTGTCTGAGACAGACCCCACCCCAAGGCCTACGATTGGCTACGTTTTGGTCGGGCTCCGCCCCTTCCCCATTCGACCCTAAGAATCCCTGCCAATGGTTGCAACAGGCCTTTCCCCTAGAACTAGTATTTCCACCCGGTCAGTCATATCCCTTGACCTATCCGCTATCCTCGGTCCCAGAATCCACCTTCACATCCCGTCCCCAGGTCTATCTATCCTCAGGTCCTAGGCTTTTCCCCAGGTCCCGCCTCTACTCCTTGACCTCGCCACTCTCCCGGCTTCATCTGCAGTTTAGGCCTCTAGCTCCGCCACAAGCACAAACCCCTCCCAGAGCCCCGCCCTCTCTAAACGCGGCTCTATACCTAGATTAGGCCTACAGCCCCGCCCCCTCCGCTCAAGCCCCGCCTCCAGCCCCAGGCCTAGCGTTCCAGGGCTCAGATTCTACACTGGCCACAGGCCCCATTTTCAGGCTTTGGCTTAGCCACCTCTCTCCGGGATTCACTGTGGCCTACCTAGCACCTAAGCCTCACCCGAAAGCCCTCCTCTAACATGTCTGGCTCAAAGCCTCCCAGCCCGCACAGCAAAGGCTAACCCCCTTTCGGAGGCCACAACCACAGGGAGACCAGCCTCTCGACCCGAGAGACGACTGCCGAAGAGACCTAGGGGCCAGTGTCTCCATGGCAGCCAGGCCTCACTCTCCCTCCCCAACTCCCGGCGTGTTTAGACTACACATGTTCTGCCGCCGGGGGGCGTGGCTCGCGAGACAGTCTTGCGGACTCTAGGCCATATGTGCTTCTGCAGATCCCAAGTGTGGGCCCTCGAACGAATCCAGACACCACAGAACAAGTCCTATTTGTTCTGTAAAATTTGGATTCGGTCAAAAAGGCTGCTCACTCAAGGATCCAGAAGTTCACATGAGGCCCCAAGGGTGCAGGTTCTCCACCCCTGCTTAGCATCCAGGATCCCTACCCTGGGAACCAAAAAAATAGCAGCTCACACCCACGGCCCGCCTGTGCTGGAATCGTGCCTCTGCTTGTCCTAAATCCAAGCCCCAAAGCCTCTTTGGTTTTAAACACACATGTTAGGGACCCAGGGAGTGGTAAATTCACACCCTAGGGGCCTTAGAACCTCAGAAGGCTCTAAATCTAACCACGGCCACCTCCCATCACCCTCCCTCCTTCCCTCTCTTCCCCTCTCACTCCCCCACCACCACCACCTAAGCTTTAAACATGTAATTCGAAGACCCAGCTAATCCTAAATCCATATTGCAAAGCCTTGTCAGTTAAGCCTCAAAGAATCCCAGGGAAGACAAAATCTACACACCAGATCCTGATCCTTCCTAGATGCACCCACACAGGAGTCTTGTATTTGCAACCCAGGGTCCTAAATGCTCACTCACCAGGTCTCCAAAGCCCTTTTCCTGACCAGGCACATGTCAGGCACTGGCCTGCCCCCCACCCCCACCCCGCCTTGTTCTCTGGCTGACCATGAACCTGCACACAGACCCTCAGCTTGATCACCATCAGCCCTGTTCTCTGGCTGACCTTGAAGCTGCACGTCGACCCTCAGTATTGACTGCTCCTTTGTGAGCCTTCTGAACTCAGGCAGGAAGCAGTCAGGGATTCCAGACCTCCAGGGCTTCTGTTTCTTGATTCCTGGGCCCTTCTTGCCTGGGCTGTGTCCATGCAGGCCTCTGCCTTGGATCCCTCCCTTCAGGCTCTCCCTCCTCTGCCCCCTACCCCCCACTCTTCCACTGCTTGTTTTCTACCCTGCTTGGCCGACCTTTCAGCATTCTTCCTGGGAGCCAGCCAGAGACTGTTTCCAGTGCCACTTGGAGGACAGTGCTGGGCAGGCGCTCAAACACCACCACCCATGCTGATATTGGTCTCTGTGGGCAGCCTGGGATGGGTGGAATGGAGGAGTGAAATGGCAAATCTAGAGGACAAGCCCAGAACCAGTCACTCACTGGCTGGCTACTTTCTCAGTCTGGAAAAGTCAGCAATGGCCAGTAACCATAGCGGCACTCTTACCCTGCCAGGTAGCCCTATTGCAATCGCCCCATTTTACAGGTAAAGAAACTGAGGATTGGAGCTGTCTGTCACACTAGCTTGGAGTTGAGACTGCATCCATAAATGCCAGCTCAGGGGGTTTTATCCTTTCTCTGTCCTCTCCCCCTTTCCCTCTTTTTTCCTCTCTCCATTCCTACTCCTCCCCTTTCTTCCCTAAATTTCTCCTCCCCCTTTCCCCTTTGCCCCAATTCCCTTGGCTCTTACCCTACTTCCCATCTCCTTCCTCCTCCTTTGCAACTTCTCTGTCTTCCCTTCCCTCTTCCCATCCACCTTACCAGTTTACTGAACCCTGACTAAACAGCTGCACAGACCATCTCTTCTAACTCTACTCATCCCTCTTTGTCCCCAAATCCAAGAGGCTTTGGAAACTTGGCCTTTTTCCTAAGATGGTTCCAGAACTCTACTGGCAGCACCACCTCCCCTGCACCGAGCCAGGCAGGCTGTTTCTGGTAATCAATTGTGCTTTTTATTTTTTTTTTTTAATTTTCCAGAGACAGTGTCTTGCTCTATCACCCAGAGTAGAGTGCAGAGGTGGCAGCATCATAGCTCACTGTAGCCTCAAACTGGGCTCAAACAATTCTCCTCCCTCAACCTCCCAAGTTGAGACTATAGGTACACACCACCACACCTAGCTAATTTTTCTATTCTTTTTTTTTTTTTTTGAGACAGAGCCTCAAGCTATCCCCCTGGGTAGAGTGCCGTGGCATTACAGCTCACAGCAACCTCCAACTCCTGGGCTCAAGCGAGTCTCCTGCCTCAGCCTCCCAAGTAGCTGGGACCACAGGCGCCCGCCACAACGCCTGGCTATTTTTTGGTTGCAGCCGTCATTGTTGTTTGGCGGGTCCGGGCTGGGGATTCGAACCCGCCACCTTAGGTGTACATGGCTGGCGCCTTAGCCGGTTGAGCTATAGGCGCCGAACCTAATTTTTCTATTCTTTGTAGAGATAGTATCTTGCTATGTTGCCTAGGCTGGTCTCAAAGTCCTGGCCTCAAGTGTTCCTCCTGACTTGGCCTCCCAACAATTATACTTTTTAATCCCTATTTATCCTCTTGCTTACAGGCTGTCCCAGACCCTAGATCATGTAGGAGTCAAGGGAAAAGTTCCCCTTCCCATTCTGAAGGTTTACTGAAAATCAAAAGGGAGATTAACTGGAAGAAAGGAATATAGATTAACTTGACATATAACTGGAAGAAAGGAATATAGATTGACTTGACATGAACCTTCAGAATGAAGACCAAGATACAAGGGAAATTGCCTTTATGCTTAAATTTAACAAAATATGAATAGTCGTGTAGAAATATGATTGGACAAAAAGCGTATGATCTAATGCCAGTAGACTGAATGAAGAAACATGGCAAGCCCTGTCTGTCTAGATTCTCCCTGGCCTCTCTGAGCAACATTCCTTCCCCCTGGGTGTGGGGCAGGACCTTCTCTGGAATAGGGGTCTTAATGCCCTACAGTCAAACAAAGTAGGTCAGATAATGTCTTCCTTACCAGTTTTTACACAAAAAGGTAGGGGAAAAGTTAAACTAATAGTTTTAGGTTTTATGGCTATCTTAGGGGAAAAGGGGTCCTGGTTTCCATGTTCTTCCTTAGGGGAGAATGAGACAGAAAGACAGGAGGACAGGAAAAGGTCAGAGAAAAATTCTGCTTCTGAGGCTACTTCAGATGCCTTCATTTTAGGATGCTATTTTCTGAGCCCTAATAGGCATCATATAGCATACAACAGTATCTGTCTCCACTTCTTTCCTAAAATACAAAAACCAAAAATCCCAATTTCTAAACACGGGCTTCTGCAAGGATTTCAGAGGAGGAAACAGAGGTATAGACACACAGGTGGGCAGAACTCTGGCTTCAGAGAAAAACCCAGCTCAGTGGCCTTGGCCTGGCCACCTCTTCCCTCTTCAACCTGGCTACCCACTGAAAAAGGACATCCTCCTTTGGAAGGCTGAGGCAGGAGGATCACTTGAGGCCAGGAGTTCAAGACTAGTCTGGGCAACATAGCATGACCCCATCTCTAAACAATAGAGGACGCCCTCCGTCCCCCTCCTCAGAGCTGTGCATTTGTTGATCCCCCACTGTGCACAGGTTTCCAGTGGGTTCCCCTCCTACCCCGGGGTAATCACAGGGTTGTGCCACAGCAAAGAGAATTCTTGGAACTCTCCAGAAGACCAAGAGAACAGAAGGAATATTGAAATGAAATACCACAAGATCTTAGCATGAGGGCTCACTGTAAGTAGAACATGAACACCGTGTAGGAAAAAACAATTGCTCTCAGGCAAATTCAAATGCCCACTAGAGTAGGGGGTTGAGTTTTTTAGGCTTGTGTAACAATGTGCTATAGCCCAGGTAGCATAGAGTAATAAGAATTTTGAATTCTCAAAACCAGAAGTCCAAAATCAAGGTGTCAGCAGCTGAGCTCCTCCAGAGGCTCTAGGGCTGCTGAATGTCATACAAGATACTCGCCGCTTACAAAGAATGATTCCACCCCAAATGTCAAGAGTGTTGCAGTTGGGAGCTGGGACAGATGAAAGCCCTGGTCAGATGACACTGGGTCTGCAGTGTGCCTTATGTCATTCACTGGGTGACTCGGACACACCCATCAGCTTCTCCAAGGCTCAGTGCCTCACTTGTAGGGCTATTCTGAGGACATGAGTATAGTAGGCACCTTATAATCTGATAAACACTGTAGAAGAGTTCTCCTTTATCTTTCTGAAAGCTGTCACCTAGGCCTGAATACAGTGGCACTGGAGTGCAATGATGCTGGAGTACAAAGGCATGACCACAGCTGACTGTAACCTCTAATTCCTAGGGTCAAACAATCTTCCTATCTCAGCCTCCTAAGTAACTGTGACTAAAGGTGTGCACCACCACACTTGGCTAATAATTAAATATTTTTGTAGAGATAGGATATTGCTATGGTTGCTCAGGTTGGTGTCAAACACCTGGACTCAAGTGACTCCCTCTTCATGCTTACAAAATTCTGGGATTAGGGCATGAGCCACTGTGCCTCCCATAAAACCTTCTCCATTGCTGAGACCACTTTGCTCTCAGTAACTTTTTTTTTTTTTTGAGACAGAATCTCACTATGTCGTCCTAAGCAGAGTGCTGTGGCATCACAGCTCACAGCAACCTCAAACTCTTGGGCTTAAATGATTCTCTTGCCTCAGCTCTCTTGCACCCACCGCAACAGCTATTTTTTTTTTTTTTTGGTTGCAACCGGGGCCAGATTCAAACCTGCCACCCTCAGTATATGGGGCCAGCACCCTACTCACTGAGCCACAGGTGCCACCCCTGGCTATTTTGTTGTTGTTGTTGCAGTTGTCATTGTTTTTTAGCAGGTCCAGGCTGGGTTCAAACCCTCCAGCCTTGGTGTATGTCACCGGCACCTTAACCACTGAGCTATAGGCGCCAAGCCCCTCACTAACTTTTTTGATTCACAATAGGCCAGGACTTCCTGGTATTGCAGAAAAATCTGACCAGGATCCCATGGGTTGCATAGGTCATTCCTCTGCTGGCTTCACATGGCTTAGTCACCCTACTACATTTCGCTGCTGGCTGGGAGGGAAAGTCAAGTGCCCTGGCAGTTGGTGCTATGTGGGGGCTGGGTGCCTCATACTACAGGTGGCCTCTCATCCAATAGGCAGGAGTTGGCAAACTGCTGTAGCCCAAATCCATCTTACCAGGAGCTTAAAAACTTTTTCTAGAGATGGGTCTTGCGATGTTGCCTAGGCTGATCTTGAACATTGTCTTATGTGATCCTCCCTCCTCAGCCTCCCAAAGTGCTAGGAGGCATGAGCACCCATTACGGGCATGAGCACCCATTCCTGGCCAGAATGGTTTTCACATTTTTGAATGTGAAAGCAGAACACAGACATGTATATACACTTACATATTGTCTCTGGCTATTTTTAAGGTTCAGAGTTAGCAATTGCAACAGAGACTGTATGGATTACAAAGATGGAAACATTTACCTCCTGGTCCTTTACAGAGAAGGCATGCAGAATCCTGCTCTAAATCAACTTTCTTACATGAAGGTCTCAAGGCAGTCTTAAAACAGTGTGAAGTAAAAGGCACAGATGGGTGAAAAGAATTGCTTACAGCCAGGAATTTGAGGACAGACTGGACAACAGAGCAAGACCCCCATCTCTTTAAAAAAAAAAAAAAAGGGAGGGCGGACTCAGCACCCATAGCACAGTGGTTACGGTGCCAGCCACATGCACTGAGGCTGGGGGATTCGAACCTAGCCCAGGCCAGCTAAACAACAATGACAACGGCAACAAAAAAATAGCCAGGCATTGTGAAGGGCACCTGTAGTCCTAGCTACTTCGGAGGCTGAGGCAAGAGAATCACTTAAGCCCAAGAATTTGAGGTTGCTATGAGCTCTCTAGCACTCTACCAGGGGTGATGACATAGTGAGACTCTGTCTCAGAAAAAAAACAGAGGGGGCGCTAGGCATGGTGGCTCATGCCTGTAATCCTAGCATTCTGGGAGGCCAAAGCAGGTGGATCGCCCTGAGCTCAGGAATTTGAGACCAAATTTGAGCCAGACTGAGACTTCATCTCTACAAAAGGAAGCCAGACATTATGGTGGATACCTGTAGTCCCAGCTGCTTGTGAGGCTGAGGCAAGAGAATCGCTTGAGCCCAAGAGTTGGAAGTTGCTGTGAGCTATGATGCCATGGCACTCTACCAAGGGCCACAAAGTGAGACTCTGTCTCAATAAAAATAAATAAATAAATGGGCATGGCACTCACACCTTCTGCCACACCGCAATGGTCAAAGCACATCACAAAACCAGGCCCAGACTCAAGGAGAGAGAAACTGGTCACCACCTCTTAATGGGCTGGAGGGACTGCAAAATACCATGGCCATGATTTCAACCTTCTACATTAAGAGTATCTTAAGGTGTGGGTGAGCCAGACAGAATCTGGGAGGTTGGAGAAAAAAAAGACATGTTCATTTCCATTAACTTCTTGCTAAAATTTAGTATGTCTTCTCATAGTGAATGCAGGCATTGTCCAGCCATGTTAACTGTGTCACCCATGGAAATCAAAGATAATTTTAAATCACATCCTGATCATAGGTAAGTCCTCCAAATATCACTGACATTTCAACTTAGATATTACAGTAATTAACAGAGCCCCTGTCAATCAACATTACTTAATGCATTCATGAAGAAGCTTGCTTTTTTTTTTTTTTTTTTTGCAATTTTTGGCCGGGGCTGGGTTTGAACCCACCAACTCGGGCATATGGGGCCAGCGCCCTACTCCTTTGAGCCACAGGCGCCACCCAGAAGCATGTATATTTTGATATCACAACTTAACAAAATATTTTCACACTTGTATGTCAGTATGATTGGTTTCCTTTGCAATCTTGTGTGTTCTTCTTAATGCATCTGCAGCTCTCTCCAGAGAGAGAGGCACACAGGGAGCCCTGCCCTCTGACCTTAGAGGAGCCACAGAACCAGGTCAAGGTCTAGGTAGATTAGAGAGGTCCTAAGCTGGCTTCCTGAAGATTTCTATTCCTATAAGAGAAGCCAGCCAGCAGACCTGAGGCCACATCACGAGGGGCCCCTCTGAGCCATCCCTAGCACCCAGCCAAGGCTACCATGGCCTCCCTGTTTTCTGGCCGGGTCCTGATTCGCAACAATAGTGACCAGGATGAGCTGGACACAGAGGCAGAGCTCAGCCGAAAGCTGGAGAACCGGCTGGTGCTGCTGTTCTTTGGGGCTGGGGCTTGTCCTGAGTGCCAGGCTTTTGCACCCATCCTTAAGGACTTCTTCGTGCGCCTCACGGATGAGTTCTATGTGCTGCGGGCAGCCCAGATGGCCCTGGTGTACGTGTCTCAGGACCCCACGGAGGAACAACAGGACCTGTTCCTCAAGGACATGCCTGAGAAGTGGCTCTTCCTGCCCTTCGAGGATGACCTAAGGAGGTGAGACAGGGTAGAAAGATCAAGGAGGGCTTCCTGGAGGAGGGGCATCTCCACTGAAAGTGAAGCATCCATTCTATCCAGAGAGAAAGGGTAAATAAGCAGCACCTGTGTTCCAGTCCATGTACCAGGAACTGGTAGAACCCTACAGAGTGGGGTGCACATGCCAACTTCCATCCTTCTCCTATGGAGCTTACAGCCTAGTGAGAGAGACAAATTGAAAACAAAGACTCAACTAGAAAACTAGGGCTGTGCTCTGGACAATAAAAGGAGGCAGTCAAGTAGAAATACAATGGGAAACCCCTGCTGAGGTTCAAGAGTCAGAAGATGCTTCCCCAAGGAAACAGCTTTAAAGAGTGACCCTGAGAACATGGAAGAAAGGAGGGTGGACAGTGAGGAAAGAGAAGGGTTTTCAAGCAGAGGGCACAGCACAGACAAAGGCTTAGAGGCTGGCAGAGAAAGAATGGCAAGTGTGGGGAAGCTATAAGTATTAATAATCTCTGGGTGAGAAAAGTTGGTGCAGCCAAGCCACCTTGAGAGTGGACATGATCCTCAGAGTATCAGGGAGCCATGGAGGGCATTAGTGCTGAGAGAAAGGTAGTCAGATTGAAGCTATACAAGAAGGTCCCCCCAAAACAGTATTATAGCTTGACTTTTTGTTATGCAAAAATATTCAAACATAGCAAAAAGTTGAAAGAAGCCTAAGATAAAACCCATGGCAATTGTTAACATTTTGCCATATTTGTTTTGTCTGTGTGTGTACATGTGTGTGTAGTTTGTGTTGAACCATTTGGAAGAAGGCTGCAGACTTCATGGCCTTTACCAACTTCATTCATTTTGTTACTCAAGTTGGAAGTTTCTGGTCAGAGAGAGTTTCCTTCTCCACCAAAATGACCAGTTTGGACACTTGCTCACTCCCCCTGCCCTTTTTGAATGAAGGGTCTTTTCCACCAAACTGGTAACATTTCCCTCCCTGGGGCAGAAACGCCAGCTGCAATACATCACAGACAAATGCTGACCTTGCCTGAGGCAAGGTCCTGTCAACAAAACATTCACCCAGAATAGTAACTTATCTGGGTGACCACCTCCACCCACTGTAGAGTGTAGAGTTGCCAGAGCCACAGGGCCTGCTTCATATATATATATATGTATATATATATAATTTTTTTTTTTTTTTGAGACAGAGTCTCCTATGTCACTCAGGCTGGAGCACAGTAAAGTGATCACAAGCCGCTGCAGCCTCAAACTCCTGGGGTCTAGCAAATCGATCCTCCCTGTCTAGCCTCCCAAGCAGCTGAGACTACAGACAAACACTACACTTGGCTATTTTTTTTTTTTAATTTTAGAGAGGATCTAACTTTGTTGGTTAGGCTGGTCTCAAATTCCTGACCTCAAACAATCCCACTTGGCCATTGGGCTTGGAGTTGCCAGATAAAATACAGGATTTCCAGTTAAATTCAAATTTCAAAAAAACAAATAATTTTTTAGTATAAGTGTGTCCCAATACACTAAAAGATTATTCACTGTTTATCTAAAATGCAAATTTCACTGACTGTCCTGTATTTCTAATTGCTAAATCTGGCAACCTCCTCCTGTGGGATTTTGCAAGTACCATGTGTTCTCCTTCTGGCAGCTGGGAGAAAAGGCCACCCAAGAACTCAGCAGGCTGAAATTAAGAACCATGGGTGGAGCATGGCACAGTGGCTTGGGCCTATAGTTCCAGCTGCTCTGGAGGCAAAGGTGGAAGGATCCCTTGAGCCCAGGGGATCCTTGGGGCCAAATTAAAAAGAAGAAGAAGAAGAAGGCTGGGCATGGTGACTCATGCCTGTAATCCTAGCACTTTGAGGGACTGAGCCTAGAGGATCACTTGAGCCCAGCCTAGGAGACACAGTCTTTACAAAAAATACAAAATTTAGGTGGGTGTGGTAGCATGCCTGTAGTCCCAGATACTTGAGTGGCTGAAGCAGAAGGATCACTTGAGCCCAGGAGTTGAAAGTTGCAGTGAAGTATCATCATGACACCACTGTACTCTAGCCTGGGTTGACAGAGCAGGATTCTGTCTTTTAAAAAAGGAACAAGAAAAAAAAGGAAAAGAACCATGATGGGCCCAGTTTGGCAGCCTGTACCCCTGGATAAGTAAGAGTGTGCAGGATCCTAACTTAGATGGACGTTTCTTCCTGGGTCTTATGGGAATGTGGCTAAGCTTCACTCTGGCTTCTACTAACACAGAACAAAATCAAAACTTTGCCATCACCCTCCAGGGCCTGCATGATGAGGGCTGTACCTCAATCACCTGCCCACCTCAGGGCATTGGCACCCTGGCTGTGCCCTCTGCTGGGGACACCCTTTTCCTGGGCTTCTCCTCCTCATCTCATAGATCTCAGCTCAGAGATCACCTCCTTCAAAAGGCCCTCTCTGGCCAGAAGTCCTTACCACATTTAACATTTCTTTATGGTGTTTATCAGGATTGATTGATTCATTCATCCATCCATCCATCCATCCCAGACACATTTCCTAAGCATGTGCCTGACACTGTTTCAGGCACTAGGGACACCAGTGAAGTGAATGGTGATAGAAGTCCATGCCTTGGTAGGGGAGAAGAGTATAAGGAGCAGTAAATTATATAATATATTAGCAGGGGGGAAGATAGGAATCGGAAGTCTGCATGATCCAGAGTCTTAACCTGCAGATGTCTGGGGAGACTGCTCCAGGTGGAAGGCACAGCCAGTGCAAAGGCCCTGAGGTTGGAGCGTATACAGGGTGGTGGAGGCTCCGCGCAGAGGCCCAGCGCCAGGCAAGCACAGGACAGTGTACACAAAGATGCTCAATAAGTATAAGGAGGAGGGATGTGGGGCTCCCCAGTTTCAGGGTCAGGGACAGACTGACCTGCCGCCCTGCAGGGACCTCGGGCGCCAGTTCTCTGTGGAGCGCCTGCCGGCGGTGGTGGTACTCAAGCCTGGAGGGGACGTGCTTACGCTCAACGCGGCCGAGGAGATTCAGCGCCTGGGCCCCGCCTGCTTCGCCAACTGGCAGGAGGCAGCCGAGGTGCTGGACCGAAGCTTCCTGCCGCCCGAGGACCTGGAAGACACAGCGCCGCGTAGCCTCACCGAGTGGCTGCGCCGCCGCAAGTACCGTGTGGAGAAGGCGGTGCGGGGCGGGCGGGACCCGGGGGGAGGCGGCGACCCCGGGAGAGAGGACGAGGCCGAGGAAGGGGAAGGGGGGCTGTTCTGACCTCCAAGGGTAGGGCGCATTGGGGGAGGGGTGGCGGATCTTTGGGAAGCCCGCACCCTGCCCCCAGGGTGAGGGCTGGGCGGGGGCTGTTCTGAGTTCTCTTCCTGCTCCAGAGGAAGAGAGTTCTCTTTCTGCCACAAAAGGGGAATCTCTAATGAGCCTCTGGGGGAAGGGTTCTGAATAACCCCGCAGGAAGGGGTGAGGGAGATGGAGCACTGGACGGAGAAGCGGAAGGGGGCGTCTCGGTTATGAGCACACTTCCAAGGGCAGGAGGAAGCTCATGGGGGCCCTTCGGAGCTCTCGTGATGTGGGGGGAAGGAAGGTGGAGTGGTGGAACGGGGATGATGTCTGGATTCTGAGGTCTGGGGGGAGGGCCCATGATGAGACTCTCCTGGGAGACGTAAGGCGGGACCAGGGGAGTATGTTCTTATCCCCCTGAAGAGGGCGGGGAGGCATAGGATGGGGCGGGGGGGGGAACATATTCTATGTCCTGGGACATCCCTCCGCGTCCCGGGCCCTGCCCTTGTCTTCCTGCTACGCATCTGAGCCTCCAGGGCTGTGTCAGCGCAATGAAGGAGGGACAGCTTTCAAGGATATTTCTGATACCTGGGGAAAGGGGTGTGGTTAATGGCTCCAACATGGAAAAATGCAAAACCAGATCAAATCTAATAAACGTGCTGAGAACGTTAAGCACATCCTACATAAACGAACTGTAGAAATGATCCCTAAAAGTATAGTCTTCCATCGTATATTAAATGAGTTGCCCATAGTTTCGTACACAAACTTGCAGCAATCCTTTAACAACAAATTTCTGTTTTGCACGGGATGCATTTCAGTATTTGGTGCCATGTGTGCTGGGGTCCCGGCTCGCCGCAAGGGCCAAAATTCTCTCAGGTTTTCTCTTCTACCTGATGGACCCCAGGAGTCCCCAGGGGAGACAGCAGACTATAGAAATCAAAATTACAGTTTTGAACACTTTGCCAGCTTTATGACTGTGAAACGGCCAAACTTTCCTCCCACCCCTCTCTAAACTTCATTTCTTTCCTCTAGAAAATGAGAAGGCCAGTTACTACCTGGCAGGTTAGCTAAGACCACAAAGCAGGTGCTCTCTTGGTTTTGCCTCTGGTTCCTCCTAGCGGTGAGATGAGGAGGCACGCCTTCGGGACGGGGCTAAAAAAGAAAATATTACAAGCAAACCACACCTCTTCTGCGTGTTCCTTAATCGGTTTCCTAAGAGGCCGCGCGTGTCCGAGGAAACTGGTGACTAAGGTGGGCAGGGATCTGACTGATGAGGAAAAGGTCGCTGGGTGGCCTGGGATGCCAGAGGGACTTATATGCTGGACTGGAGCCTCATTTCATTCTCACCTCCACTCCCAATCTCCAGGCGGGTAAATTGAAGCTCAGGACAGTGATGTTGCCTGCTCCTTCGGATTCTAACGCTCTCTGGGCCTCACTAGTTGCATCTGTGAAATGGGTGCGTTGGACCTCATATAATAATGGCACTTAAATTCTCTGTATCTAATACCAGGTCACCCTTTGGGTACAAATCACAGACCATGTAATTTAGTGTTAATAGTATTGCAGACGGCATAAAGTGGTCAGTCTTCCCCATCTGGGCAGTGAGGCTGGGGGGAGTCCACTTCCTGTCCCTGTGGAGCTGTGTTACCTGGACAAGTTGTTGGTACTTTCTAAGCTTCTCCCTCTCTGCCTTCCCTGCCTCCTCCCATCCCCAAGACCACCTGTCAGTGGTATAATGAGAAAGTGACAGCTTGGCAAAACGCCAAGTCAATTAAGCATGGGGACTACTTGCAGGGTTAACACAACTTTCCAAATTAAAGCCAGACACCCCCAAACTGGAGAGTTACCTCACACAAAAAGGAGAGGGCCAGGCCTCTCATTTATTTATTTGTGTCCCCCCTCAACCCTCAAGAAATTATGGCAATGACCTTTAGCCATTTTATGGAACTGTCCCTTTACTTGCAGATTTAATGTATGTTTCCACCTCCTCCACCAGACTGGAGCTTCAGAAGGGCAATCCAGGACTGTCTTGGTCACCACTGAGTCCCCAGGACTAAACACATAGGTGGGCTGCCCATTAATGTTTGTTGAATGAATAGATGAAAGTTATCTTACATCTTTATATCCACAACACACAGCACAGAGGTGGGCTCTAATCCAAATTCCAGATGAATTCCTGAAAAACAGCTGCCCCAATCTGGGACTTTCCCTTAGCTATAAAACATGGAAAATTCACCCTGATTTTAGCAAGATGAAAGAGTGGGTGTGTTGGGCTGATGCCTGGTGAGTGAGTGAATGAATAAATCAGTGAATAAACAGACTTCTGTAAAAGATGAGGAGGCCCAGAGAGGTTAAGACCACAAGGCCACACAGCAAAGGAGACTACCTGAGGGTGAAGGGTCACCCCATAATCTCTCCCAAGGTCATTTTACCTACATGGCAAAAACTTATCTCAGAAGAACCCCAAAATTTGAAACCTGAAAAAAATAATTGACTCAAAAAATCTGAAAAAAGACTTGAAAATTCAAAACCGGTAAAATCTCTTAGGTGCCTATGAAGTAGTATAGAGAAGCTAGTGGGAGCTGGACTGCAGGGTTTCAATCCTGCTCTGCCCAGTCTAGCTATGTGACCCAGGGAGTTACTGCACCTCTCTGCACCTCAGTTTCCTCCTCTATAAAGTCCAGGTGATAACAATGTAGACCTGCTGCAAGGTTTGAATGCATTAACACCAGCCAGCTCATAGGAGGCCACCTTGACCTCATTCACCTTGATATTCTGGATCTAGCAGAAATGTGCTACCTTTGAAACCATCTGCAGATTTGATTTTTCACACTTTGGAAGAATTCCAGAGCAGGAGTGCAAGATGATACATTTGTCCTGTGTTTGGCAAACATTTATTGAGGGACTGCCAGGGGCTGAACATAGTACCTCTTGGGGACACAACAGTGGACAGCTGAAACAGACACCCTGCTTTCCTGGAGCTAGGGTGTCAGACTCTGGGAAATCATACAGGCTGAACTGCAAAAGGAAGAAAGTGCTTTGGGAAAATGGAAAGTGAAAATACAACAGACATAATGGGAGAAAATTCTTGTAAATCATGTCGTTAATAAGGGATTCATATATAAAGCACTCCTACAGTGCAACAACAAAAAACCAAACAACTCGATTTATTGTTTTCTTTTTTGTTTAAACAACTCAATTTAAAAATGGGACCTGAATAGGAATTTCTCCAAAGCAGACATCAAACAGCCAACAAGCACATGAAAAAATGTTCAACATCATTAATGATTAGGGAAGTGCAAATCAAAGCCGCAGTGACACAGCCCTTTACACCCACTAAAGTGGCTATAACCAAGAAGGAGGTTTCATGAAGCTGCAGTGGATAATGAAAACAAAAAAAGAAGGAGGAGCAGGAGGAAACAAGTGTTGGTGAGGATGTGCAGAAAATGAGGGAAAAAACTACTTTGCTAGTGGGGATGTAAAATGACACAGCTGCAATAGAAAACAGTTTGATGGTTTCACAAAAGTTAAAAGAGTTACCGTGTGACCCTCAAATTCCACTCTTAAGATTCTACTACCCAAAACAATTGAAAGCAGTGACTCAAACAGATACCTGTACTTGCATGTTCATAGCAGCATAAGTCACATTTCCCCCAAAGGTGGAAACAACCCAAATCCCCATCAGCGGATGAATGAATAAACAGAATGGGATTCATCCACCTAATAGAATGTTATTCAGCTGTAAAAAGGAATGAAGCGTTGACACTTGCTACAACCTGGATGAATCTGGAAACCATGATGTTGAGTAAAAGATGCCAGATGTACCAATGGCCACATGTTGTATGACTCCATTTATATGAAATGTCTAGAACAGGCAAATCCATAGAGACAGGAACAGATTGGTGGTTGCCAGGGGCTGAGAGAGGAGAATAGGGAGTGACTAGGAAGGGGGACAGAGCCTACTTTGGGGGTGACAGAAATGTTCCGGAACTAGACAAAGGTAATGGTTACACACCATTGCGAATGTACCCCCCAAAATTGAATAAAATAGTTCATTTTATGTTCTGTAAATTTAACCTCAATTTTTAAAAAATGTTATGTGAAGAATAGGGGGTGGCAGTTGGGGAAGAGTTCTAAGAGGGCCTCCTAGAGGAAGCAACCTTTCCTTCAACTCTTGAGGAAGGTGAGCAGAGGAGAAATAACAGCCAATAGCGTGTCCCTGGGTTGAGATCAAATAACAAAGTGAATTATTTAAAATTTCTTTCTTTTCATTATTTATTTATTTAATTTTTTTGGAGACAGGATCTTGCTTTGTTACCCTGCCACAGTCCCATGGCATCAGACTCAAGCAATCCTCTTGTTTCAGGCTTCGGAGTAGCTGAGACTAAAGCGCCCTCCACAACGCCCAGCTAATTTATTTTATTTTATGTAGAGACAGGATCTTGCTCTTGCTCAAGTCAGCCTCGAACTCCTGGGCTCAAGCTATCCTCTTGCCTCGACCTCTCAAAGTACTAGGATTACAGGTGTGAGCCATTGTCTTTCTTTCTAAATAATCATAAAATCGGTGCTTCTAAGAATTTAGGGTGCTGTCCTCCAGCCTGAGGCACAGAGAGGAGCAGCAGCTGGCTCAGGCCCATCCAGCCCCGAGCCGCGTCCCCAGGCAAATGGGGTTCGCGCAATCCAGCCTCGTAGCCTTTGCTCCTCGCCCCGCCCCACACCTGGTCCCTCCCCTTGGAGGCCCCGCCCCAACCCTGTCAAGCCCGACCCGTTAAGACCCGTTGACCAAGAGGGGGCGCCTGCGGGGCCCCGGGAGAGAGGAGAAAAGACTTTGTTACAAGTTTTCGCAAAGCACAGGCATCCCGGCTGCGACCTGCACCTCAGAGCCGGAATCAGGCGACCTGCCACACAACCCCTGAACCTTCAGACTACGGCCCCGCCCCCTGGGGGCCCTTCGGACGCCCCCCAACTTCCCTACCCTAAAACCACTTTGATTCCTCGACTGCCCTCACGTCCTCCGCCCGCACGACCCCCGCCATGGCCAGGTCATACGGCGGCAGGGTACTGGCCGCGATGACCCTCCTGGGCATCCCGGCGGCGATCCTGGCGGCTCTGGGCGCGCAGCTGCTGTTCCAGCTGCAGGCTGGCCGCACGGACCTGAGGGGACCGCGCGCTGACGGGCTGGGCCTAGAGCTGGGTGCCGGCCCCGGGCTACCCGAGGACGCGGCTGGAGCTCTTCTGCCCCTGGCCGCCGCGCTGGCCTCGCTGGCCCTCGTGCTCGCGCTCACCTGCCTGCTGCTCGCCGTGCTGTGCGGCCACCTGGGCGCGGAGCTGGCGCGGGGGCCTGGCCCCGGCAGGTAGGAGGACCCGCCCCACTGCCTGGGGACTCGGCTAGGGGCTGGATGAGCCTGAGCAAGCTGCTGCCCCTCTCTGGGCCTCAGGCTGGGGGACAACTTCCTCTCTCCCTCCTCTATCCATCTTTCTCTCTCTTCTTTCATCCTGCCCTTCCTCCTTCCCCTCCCTCTACTCTGTACTGAAATTGTACAGCAGGTGTAACTACAGCTGTGGCCCCTGATTTGCAGATGAGGAAACTCAGGCTCACAAAGGGCCTGGGATTAGCTAGCCCTGATGTCTATATCCAGAGGGTTTTTCATTTAATAGAGCACTAAACCCTCCTTGCTTCCTTCTCTGTGTTGATTAACTCAGTGAAGTCTTGGGTGCTATTATCCCCCTTTTAAACTGGGTCTTAGACAATTTTGGCTGCTCCCTTCAAACTGTGGGGATGGGAAGTGGGTGAGTTGAATCTGAGCTTGATTCTGGAAGAGCCAGAGCCTGTGCTATGGGTTAGGGTTCCTTCCTCAGGGACCTGAGCTCAGGATGTGAACATAAAGGGAAGCCTCTATTAAGGGCTGCTTGAGCCAAGTACTCCACTGTCCCACTTGCAACCAGATCTGCCCTCATGGACTCAAAGACAATAAAGAAGCATGGCAGATCAGTAGCATCAGATGGTGATGAATGCCGGGAAGGAAAGAAAATGGGGTGTTTGGATGAAGGGGGTAGCATGAGGGGGCTTGAGCTGAAGGAGGGGAGGAGGCAGAAGATCTGGGGGATTATGATCCAAGCAGAGGAAACAGCCTGTATAAAGGTCCTGGGGCAGGAATGAGCTTTGTGAGTAGAGGGAGATGGAGGTGTTTGGTGTGGCTGGAGGATGAGATGCAAGGAGGTGAAGGCACGGGACCGTGTGTGATCTTGTGCCCATGGTGAGGACTTTGGAGTTTGCGCTGCCTAGGAGGGTTGTGAATGAAGGAGGAGGTGGTCTGGTTTAGGTTTGGAATAACCCCTTCTGACCATTGTGCTAAAAAGGGGGCAGAAGGGGATGCCAGGAAAGAGGCCACTTCCATTGTACTGGTGGAAACTCAGTGAAGAATGGAGTTCTCAGAGCCTCCATTTCCTCATTCTTCAGTTCATCTCTTGCATTTCTACCATCATTAATAGCAAGTGAACCTCAGTTTTCTCATCTCCCAAACAAGCCATGGCCTCTAAAATAATGGAAGTTAGATGTGTAGCAAGTATCTATACATAGTAGCTGCTTCAAAAGTGTTGGATGTTTGCATGGACTGATTGATGTATACAGATGGGTTGGGGGAGGGAGAATAGATGGTGGCTGGATAGATGGATGAGGGGATGAGTGGATGGATGGTAAATGGGAGATGAATGGATTTCATGGACAAATGGATGGAGGTGGATGGATGGTTGGATGGATGGATACTGTTTCAGAGGTTCTCAACCTTCCTAATGCCATGGCCCTCTAATATAGTTCCTGTGGGTCACGACCCACAGGTTGAGAACCTCTGGTTTAAATGGATAGATGGATTTTTAAGGCACCATTAAACGGATAGATAGCTGTATGTGACTGATAGTTGAATAATCTATAGGGATGATTGGTAAATGGATGGTGGACATTTACCTGGAAGACTAGATAGGTGAGTGGATAGATGAATGGAAAGGTGAATGGAGCATAAATGGACGTGAGACAGGTGAATGGTAGATGTCTAAATGATTGAATGCATGGAGGGATGGATGGATAGTAGGTGGCTGGATGTATGAATAAGCCAAGGGAAGAATGGATATGTGGATGGATGGATGGATAAGTGAATGGAAGGATGGATAAGTAGATGGATGGTTGATTGATGGAGTGGATGGATGGATGGATGGTAGATAAAAGGATGGATGTAAATGGGTGAGTGAGTGAGTGGATAATGTTCTTCATATAGATCTCAGGTCTCCAAAATCTGGGCCTTTGTCTCATTTAGGCCCCTCTCCCTCCCTTTCCCCACTGACCTCTCTCCCACCAGCTCCACTTTCCTGAGCCTTTTTCTTCCTGCCCCCTTCCATCCCAGGTCTGACTGGTTTCTCTACGACTGCCGTCTCCTCAGACACTTGGCACTTGGCCTTTTCTGCTGCGGGGTCTCCGTCTACTTGGCAGGTGTGTGCTGGAAAAGAAAGTGGAGCAGAGGATCCTGGGTTGGGTGGAGAGTGGTAATGGCCCCCCTAACAAGTCAGCTCTGGAACCAGCCTGCCTGGGTTCAGTTCTGGGCTCTGACACGTCCTTGCTCTGGTGCCTTGGGCAAATTCCCTCTGTGCCTCATTTTCCTCACTAGTAAAACAAGAATGATAACTTTCTGTGACTCATAGAATTGCTTGAAGAGATCTGAGTTAATCCTCATAAAAGCTCATGGATGGCATCTGATCCCAGTAGAGGCTCCACAAATGGTAGTTTTCATCAGAACATTTCCAATGAGATCACATCAGTTTTATGTATTTGACTTGAACAAAAGATTTCGTGGCCTGAATAGTTTCTTTTTTCTTTTCTTTTCTTTTTCTTTCTTTCTTTCTTTCTTTTTTTTTTTTTTTTTTT